CCAGCTGTTTGTTTGTCAGGTGGTAGCTTTTGTTAACGGGTAGTTTAAGGGAAATAAACAACAAAATTATAAAGGGTAAATATATTCTAAATTATTGATGAATCTTTTTAAGCTTTCTACAGATTGTTTTGCCTGTAAATCCAAAACCAATTACATCTAAATCCCTCCAAATGTTTGTCGATTATCTGTCCTATAAAACTCATGAAGACGCAGATTTCTTGAATTTTCATCATCATTCCTGGCTAGAATTGTGGATTTAGGGTAAAGGTTAAATGTTAAGGGCTCAAAGTTAGAATTTAGGGGCAGGATTGGTATGTTACATAAAATCGAGCATTTGATACATTTTACATCATCACTTCGACTCTGGTGGTAAACAATTTCTTATTATCACTTTAAGTATTTTTAGTGCTGCTTAAACTTATTTATTCTGCTTTCTCTACGTGTTATAAAACAAAGCTTATTCCTTTTTTAAGCTGGTACTGAAGCCCAAAAATCGTTTTCTCAATTCTGACCTCACTCTTACATTATCCTTTCGCTCAAGCTATCTTCAAACTTTAACAACAATCTATAGTTCATTCACTTGAAAAGATTTAGGTTAAGTTTATATAACCTATATGGATTAATACTAGGTTACCAAGAACTACCTTCCTATCTTGCCTTTAATCATGAATTAGCCAAAGGTAGGTTATTTCAAAACGAATATATTGATTCCCAGAATCCTATACTTCTTCAAAAAGTGATAATTTATTCATGGCTTCAATCATCTTTATGAGGTCATGTATAATATGATGAGATATTCTTCACTTTTTTACTTGCAGAATTAGAGTGTACACTAATTATACCTCTTCTTTCTTAGTTTATATGTTCTTTCAATGTACTTATTTACTTTGTAATATTTATTACGGTAATGTTTTTATATGAATCCCAAGGGATTCAAAAAAATTCATCTTATTCCTTGTATAATGACTAGCAAAATGTAAATACTGATCAACATGAAGCACTAGACAGGTAAACATAATGTTGATTACTACTCGATGATTTGTCAGTATAAACTATTTACTTTATTGTTTCACAATGTACATAATAAAGTTTACACAAAGAAGAATAAGACGGAATAATATCTAACCGAATCTAAGCACGTACAGAAAACAATTGGTCTTTTCTAAAAGAAAAAAAACTATAAATTTATTTATTAAAGCAAAAGTAACTCTGACATCATAATATATTCTTTTCATTGAATGTTTATCATTCAACTTCTTCCGCTGATATTACTATTTATGTTATGTGATAATCATGTAACATAAAACTATTGCTTCCAATTAGAAAAATAAGCTTCTGAAAACATAACCATGATTGTTATTTCATGATAAACTTGTTAACAAGTCTTCAACAAGTGAAATCTTCAATATATATTCTTTACAATATTCAAAGTTAGTTTTTAAAATGAGTCTATGATAATTCTTAAGGGAAAATAACGATTAAGTAAACTAGTTCCTAAAGAGATGGATATAACTTTGTTTGAGTGGAATTGAATTTTATTATTTTCTTTTATTAAAAAGATCCTTGTGTTCTATGCAGAAGAATAATAAATTTTTCACTATTTTTATTATAGATGGAAGAAACTGCTCAAGCTGTTCGACCTGATATAGGAAGTAGTCCAACACGATCGATACTTGGCACAATAACAGGCAGTTTAAGTGGCATTCCAAAACCTGGATTCCTTAGTAAAATGTAACAATTATAAGAAACAAAACAACAAAGCACTGTCAACTCGTCCTTCAATTCACATACACATACATAGGAGTTTTATGTTAATCTTCAAAGACTGCTGTGAATTGTTCTTTTCCTGTCTCTTATTTCCTTATATTTTTGCCAACTATTTATAGTTATTTTCATACAAAATAAAAAAATAAACTCGACGTTGATAATTTTGTGCCATTCTATACATTGAATTCCTTTCATTGAAAAAAATCTTTGGAAAACATTTTATCTTAAGGACTTATTAGAAAAGAAAAAAAAATCAAACTTTTCTAATTCTTTGATTAATCATCAGTGAACTGCTAATGTGTACTTGTTTGTTGGGAAACAAAACAACAGTAGGATTTAATGGATTTAGAATTACTAACAGAACTGTGGAAAGTTTGTGATGATTTTATTAGTAGAGTAAACCATGGATTAGACACCTTCACATTGTGTGCTTCTTTTTCTTAAGAATAAATTTTATCTTTTAATTCATTGTTAACTTTATTTCAATTACATGTTCAAACAATAACATCAATACAGGACGTGTACTATTCTCTGTATGTGTATATGACTCGAAACTATCTTAAAAAGTGCTTTTATGAACAGAATTCTCTGGTATTCGTGGCTGTGGTATTGATGAAGACGACAGCAACAAGAAACAGATTGCAACACAAATTACTGCCAACTACCAATTCATCTTGTAAAAATTCATGCCCTTCCCTCTCTTCTAACAATATTCACTGTAGCCTTGTATAAAGAATTATCAGAACAAACAGAAACCAGTTAACAAAAACGAAACTGGACTTTATTCACTCAATATTAAATACAGATAATACTTATTATTTTCTCTCTGATGATTCAGTATTTTTTGCAAACATTTCATTTTTATTACAATTATATATTAACATAAGAAATACATTTATTCTCATACAGCGCGTGTAATGAATTCTTGCAAATGTAAGAAAAAATATATTTTATTATCACTAAAATGTTAGTTGATTCAACTAATTTGAACCCTGCTGATATCACAACTCGATAATGATAACAAACTGTATTACTGATCATTAAGTTTCATTAATTTCTTTACTAATAATATGCATTATAGAAACTAAAATAATCATTTTTTTATTGTTTGCTCTCTGTAGTTATAGCAATCTATTATGCTCAAGAACGAGTACTGTTTTAACTATACGATCGTTATTGTTCATGATAACCTTACTCATTATTTGATTACTCTAATACATCATCATACGGATCAGTTTATTTTCACTGATATGTTCTTTCTCGCTTTGAATATACAGTTTCCTTCATATTTCAAGAATACTAATTACTAATTACTATCGTATACATGCAATGGTTTTTTTCTGTTATGGAGAGGGATCTCAAAGTTAACGAGCAATATTGCCAATAATGATTATCTTTCTATAACTAGTCTTATAATCATGATTAATGGTAATTTTATTAAATTTCTCAACTTTATATATATATATAACATAGATAGTACAGTTATTTGGTAATTTTTTGCTACTGTCACTACTACTCCTTGTAGTGGTAGCAGCAGTAGTCCTACTAGTATGTAACTGGGACTTGCTTTTTTCTCATTTTTATGGAGGTGAAATAAAAAGAATACTATTGTGATAATTTTTCGTTGATTTCTTTCACTACTTATCAATTCTGGGTCTCGAAAGTAGGAAAAGTAGAATTCTTTTGGTGTACACACTTCGTATATGCCTCCAAGCTAGCTGTCGGAGTGATACTATCAAAAATGAGTAGGAAGCTTTTATTGGCTAACACAATCGAAAATGCAAGCACAACTTATTCGCAGATATATAGATACATGTTCTTCAGAAAATTGAATCGCATTTCTAACTAACAGTGTATGTTCGTTTCTGCAGAACGGTTAGCCAATTCTTGACTAGTAGTGCGCACCCGTCAACATTTCTCACTTATTATTTGGCTTATGTCTGGTTAACCCAACGTACCCGAAAGATAAGTCTTCATTTTTGGATCCAACTGCATGAACTCATGTAGGAATACATCAATAAGAGAAAGCAGTAATATTTATTAGTAGACTCACACAATATAGATAGTATCTCTTGTGAAGACATTCCGTATTCATAAAACAAAGTAAGCAATTTATAGAATCAACGTGCTTTACATTTATAAATGATTTGGAAGATTGTACAACATATCATATATGCGTTTAACAGTTTTTCTAATACTAGCAAAGTTTTTACTCATATGTAGAGGAAAAAGAATCATAAAAAAGGTTCGGTGAAATTAATATATCTTCAAAATGCTCATTGTTATAATTAAACAATATTGGGTTGACAACTGTTTCACTTTATATGCAGAAGTTTTCTGGATTCCAATCTACTAAAAATAGTGAATACAAAGTAATATCTTCGGGTAGTGTACAATCGCACTTGTAAACTACCTGGAACCTGATCTGCAGATATGCAAAACATTCTAAGAGGAATAGATAGATCTCGCTTACTTCCTAACATTATGCGGATTTGTAAGTACAGTTGGGAGGGACTTCGGGTAACTGAGACTGCATAAATAGTGTAAGACGTGGTGTTGAGTTCAGTGACGAAGCTTGATTAGTTCGTTCTGATCCATTATTTTCCTAAGTAGAGACTGAGAGAGCTATACACTGATAATATTTAGTAATGGTCGTATGATACAAGGTGGTAGATATGAAGACGTTAATCATCATATTTAGAATCATTAGATGAGTGTTGCCCGACTTGCTTCAAACCAAGTTTTAATTGAATACCATCGGAAGAAGTGAGTAGGAATTTCTGACGTTTTATATTTGGATTGGACGGCATTCCTCATTTCTCAATGGTTTTGCGATTCGTGTTGTTTAGTGATAAAATCTTCAAAATACCTTAACAATTAGAATTTAAGAAAGTAACTAATCAAAGTTCACATACTTTTTTCTTAAAGTCTTTTCGAAAAATAAGTTATTTTCGAATAAAATAAACTACTTTCATTCGAAATAACCGGTTTTGAATTCTCTGATAGTATCTGTTTTCATTTCAATGAAAAAAGATGTCCATATTACGAGAGAAATAGATGCAAATCTTATAATATATGGGTTTATCGATTAAATACAACCTGGTACTTTTTGATCAGAAGTTATGTAGTTTTAAAAAAACTGGGTTCTCTGGAAATAGTTTTAATGTATATTTATGAAAATCCGGGATAAATTAATTTCATGTATACACTAAGTTACGCACTAAGTGCAATCATTAACTCGGTGAACTCGTGCTATGTAACAACTCCTTCTCAAATTTCTTGGCCTTGAAAAGTTCAAAATCTTTCTTCTTATCGAAAAAGTCGACCTGAGGAAAACACAAAAAGAAATATAAAGAAAATGCATTGGCACAATAATGTAGTCCAATATATATATATATATATATATATATATATATATATATATATATATATATATATATATATATATATGCCAGGGAAGTCCTACTCATCGCCTCGTGGCGGGGGTGTTGTTTACGAAAATGAGGACGAAAAGCGAATGTCCGGCGCTTTAACCGGATTCCAAACCAATGGTGCACATGGGCTCCAGTATCCTGCGGGAACAAATGGCGTATGAACCAATTGTTGATCACCGGCTACCATGGGACTGCATCTCCTTACGATGCTACGCTGCCTTTTGGATCAGACCTTCAGGTCGAAGGCTCGGGGAGTGGCCCCCTAAGAAAACCACCTGCTTCGGTTTGAGCACGCGATCAGTATCACAGCCCTCACACATATCGAGTGAGATTTGTGTGGCGCATATGTATATGGTGCCTCTTTGTACCAATATCTATGTGTTGAAATAAATAAATGATATCCCGACGAGAATAACGAATGGTAACAGTTGGGATCTATTCATGGACTAATACTATACATATATTTTTATTGTATAATTGTTAACTAATTAAACTATGTAGATTCATATTCCGCTTAATATAAGCTTTTATTTGACCTATAGACTATCATTATACGATTTACCATTCTTAAGTTATGCCCAGATTATTAATTACAGTCTCCCACAAACACGGCCTTTTTTGGCTAGATCTTATGCATATGTTATTTTCTATTTTTTTGGTACGATGTGATCTGTTTGGTTTGTACATAAACCCAGTATGTTTGAAATATATGATTCCTATCGCGGAGGCTGAGATCGGTGTTCTGGTCTCAAAAGGCAGGGCTAAGCAGGAAGAAGGACCGATACGGACTCTAAACTGCTCGTACGGGTTTATGCGTCATTGGGTACAAGGCTACAAGTTATAACTACATATATGACAATTAATTGAACATAAAAGTTGGAATATTTATTACTTTTATGTATTCATTAGTTTTTTTGTTTCTCTACAAATCGTTATCACTAATTGATAACACTGAGAACTAAAGATTATCAAACAGTTATTATTGTCATATTCTAAGACTTGCTAAGATTGTATAACTTTATCTCAACATATAAGTTTAAATTAAGGTATCCAGAGATTATCTGATAAACTACGATACCAATCATTCACTATGATAAAGATCGAATACATGGCGCTTTCCAGATATAATCAACTAGTGAACTGTTTAAGGTTATTACTGGGCATATTTAGTAAAATCAAAAGAAACAAAATAACAAAGAAAACGTATGTTTATTAAATTGGTAAATTTAGAATTTTAGGTTTTTTGGTACTAAAGTATTAGTTTGAAAATGTGTATGTTCAGAAAAAGTAGAGAAGAAATAAATAGATACTATGAGGCTATTTGTTTTCAATAGTTTATGATGTGGACAATATAATTCTTCGGAATTATGAATATGAAAACTTCATCACTAATTAGTATCAATCTGAATATAAAAGCAACTCATAAAGTCTAAATGGCTGTCTAAGGTCTGAACACTGCTGTAATGAACATACTATATATCTTTCAATATCTAAAGAGATGTCCTACATAAATGCTCTACATAAATAACACTGATTATCCATTCAGTATCAAATCGACATTTCGATTTTTGTGGATATGAAAAAATTGAGAGACATCCCATAAACTATGCAGTAGACTTAAATCACAAATAGGCTTATTATCAAACTAACAAAAAACACCATCCATGAATAAAAAAGAAAAGAAAATCAGTCACAATTTATGTGCTGGATGTGAAACAATTAGACAATGATGAAATAAATATACCAATGACAACAAATTTCACTTAGGTTGTCTGTTAATATAAACTAATCTAATAAGAAGTCTCATACTTTGACTACTCATAATTTCATCTGAATTTAAATCGTTAATCGTGAAGGCTTAATGTTCAATATTTAACGAATTGACAATATATGAAAAGTTTATTTGTGACCACTGAAATTGGTTAATAAAATCAAGAACCAACGTTTTTGTTCAGCTTTGGACTCGAAAGCAGTGGAAAAATATGACACTTTACGAGTTTTTATCTGAAATAAATCTTTTATCTAAATAGAAGATAGTGTGCTGAATAGTGATTAAATCGAATATCGAATATATAAGTTCCACTGAGGAACTGTTACCTGAAGGATTTTAATAAGGAAGAGAAAAAGGCAGTTATCTATGACAGTAACGAATGATTATAGCCCCACATAACTAACTGACTGAAGTTAGAAAGTTTAAACTATTCGTTTCTGACTCACATTGAATGGTACTGTATTCTTTACGTGATTAACAAATTTTAGGTTTAATCCTGTGTAGGATCTTTGATATAAATTTATGGTAAGCTTTCTCACATAGTTTCACTTTACGACAAAAAATATGCTTTGAGCTCAGCAGTAGATTGTAATTTATTGTTAAACAATCAGTACATTCAAAAATCGACGAAATAACTTCTTTGGAGAACAGTCTTAAAACCTCTAAATAATTATGATTGTGGCGTATGCTACTTATGTCTACATAAGTAGTATATTGATTAGTAGTACAATGCCTAGCAGTAGATGGTTGGGAAGATCAAATCGAAGAGAACGAGAACAGAGAGTAATTGTTATGGCAATGAAGGAACGATGACGTTTGAGACAACTGATGGAGGATTTGCAAATGAAGTAGTGAACGTATGGTTTTCACATTTTATCAAACAACTCTGTAATTTTGCATTAAAATACAGTTAGTTACCCCCATCTGTGTTTTCGTTCATTACATAATGAGTAAAGAAACCTTTCAGGAAATATCATTTTAGTGATAAGTCAGTTGAACTTATCAAAAAAACAAATAACCCAAATTTATTTTGATGATGAGAAGTAAAACCTAAATCAATTGAGGAATACGATATACAAAAACCAACTCTAATGACCTATTTACTGAAACATGAAAGTATTGGCCATTAAAGTTTTCATATCAATTTCAAGGTTAAATCGAGATAGCTAATAGCATCTAAGTTAGATATACATGAATGCATCAACTGAACAAGTGAATATACCAAATGATGACTCAGTAGCTAAATGGATAACGCGATGGCATTTAAAGCGAACGGTACTGTGTTCGAATCCCAGAGTGGATATCAACTCTGGGGTGCAGGTAGATACAGCTGACGAGTCCCAAATCGGACGAAACGGGCGTCCTAGATTCCACCGCTAGCCACTATCCATCTTTGATTACAAAGCTTGTGACTTAAGGTAATATCGAAGTAATCCGCTCAGGATGTACATATGGCAACAAGAGACTGATCAATTGCATTCCTGAGCAACAATTGGAAGATGGAAGCAAACAACACCAAGTGAATTCAAATGATATAATCTTTAGGAAAAACGCTCTTGAAACCTCCATACTTTAATTTCATTTCAATTACTAGGTAATTGGTACAATTCTCACTCTATTTACTAAGATACAAATAACCATGTAGTGACTATTAGTTTATTTATATGAACCTGTGTATATGGTTGCTAAGTGAAGTTAAATAATTAAGAGATTTCAAAACTCAATCATACTAACTTCCGTTACGGTCTTAATTGAATAAAGAAAAAAAGATTAAAATGTTGCTGATGATTTATAAATTAAAAAGTATTTTCATCCAATTTAATGTAGAAGTGCAATATACACTGTTTCATGCTATAATATTTAAAATAGAGACTAAAATTGAGGAAACCACCACTTCAGCATCGAAAGATTAAGTTACAAAATTTAGTGATCAGAATTTTAGAAATGCTGATGTCATTAAAATACTGATATTTAAAACATAGAACAGAACAGTACAACTGCTTGTAGGAAGCTTAGTTAGAAAGAGGTTTCCCATCATAAGCAAATATCAGTTAGAATAACAAACATCAATGAGCACTTATTTAGTTGTAAGCCTACATAAAAGAATAAACAAAGAAACCTGTGATAAACTGATCAGTTTATAGTAGGTAGATTCTTTTAACTGCAAACTTCTGGTTTCTTAATAACCCTATGCTGGAGATCAACATCTTCTGGAAAGATTAAAATGAACAATTAACGACTTAAAATTCATGTACCTTGAAACCTACTTTCGTATTTCAAATTTATCTAGCACATATGACTGAAGTATACAGCCAGTAAATGGGAATTTCGCACACATCAAATAGCTCCATCAGTTGAGATTGATAATACTGTAGAATGCCTTACTGCGTTCATTAAAGATCACTAATGCTGCTGATCATGTTAAGAATGACAATTTTACATGACCTCTCCTTGATTGAATGCCAGAAGAAAACCCTCTCAGTAAGGGAATGCTAAATGAGCATGAACATGTTATGTGTTCCGAAAGTCAGACATAACATGTCTGGATACCACCAGTGGGTGAAAAGTACAAACGTGGTATAACATTGTGAATTACTCACCTATCCAAGGTTATTGCTTTCAAATCATTATCCGAATTATATACAGTTTATTCGGACCTGACAATCAAAGCTTCTTTATTGTTTTCAGTCCTTTCAAATGCATAGTAGTTAGGCTAAGTGTCTAGCAAGAGCGAGTATTTTGTAACCGAATAGGGCTAGCAGACTGTAGCGCAGTTGAAACATTACAATCGGACCAATACACTCAAAAAAAAGCAAGTGAAAAAACTATAACCTAATGGCTGAAATTTAAGTCTCAAAACTATAGAGAAACACGTCGGTGTTTTCATCACACCACTGTGATAAGTCAGTAACAGAGAACATTGAGAACATCACGATTACATCCTAGTCACACATTGGTACAAAACACAGAAGCAAAAACATGAAGGTTGGTAAATATTAAGACTATCTAATGACTGTAAATTAATGTATTGGTAAAATTCATTGAACCCGAGTCATTTTTTGAATCGATCCTTCGCAGGAATCAGGAAACTCGACAGCTTACAGGACGGATAACCTGCGTAACGGTATAAAAGTAGATTGGAAAAATGTGAAGATGGCTAGACCAAAATATGATATCAGACATTTGAATGAGCCGCATAAGAAGGTGTCCACTTCCTAGATGCAGTCCACAAGATAACAATAAGTTTTCCCATATTCATTTTAGCTAACCAATATTGTTATTAATATTAATGAAACATTTTGCCATATCTTTTACTGTTTTTTTGTCCATATGATATAAAATGTGGCAGACTAAAAAACATATATTTATGTCGATTCCCGTGGTGTGTCTGTTTGAATTATAATTCATCTATATGTGAGCTTGTAAGTATCTAAAAAGGAAAGAATGAATTACAATTAATTAGCTACGTACTGTGCTTAGACTCGTAAGATCAGCTGAATGTATGTAATCTAACTACTTCTGGAATTCGCAAAATCAAATACCACACAGTGAACTAACCCATATTCGTGGACACATTTCTTCGTAAAGTTTTCTTTGTTTTGTACATTGTTTTCTTATCAACTTGTCATCAGGTTCTGAATTTTTCGCGATTACATCAGTAACACATTCCCAAAAGGCATCACGTGATTTCCAGCATTTTTCTCTTTTAGATTTAGATATAAAATCTGTCGAGGTTTGCATAAGAGAGGCTAAAAGTTCATATAAGAAAATCTGTGGTAAATCACTTAAGTAATTAATATTGATTAACTGACTAAATAATAAAATTTCCCAATAACGCAACGAATAAAATTAAATCAACTCAAAGTGTATATGGATGAGCAGTATGATTGGATTAAGTATTTTTCCAGATTAAAAGACACGACTTCTGTTTCGATTTTATTAAGTAAAGTATAACGAACAAGAAACACGTCCCATCTGAATCCCTAATATATGTATGAAAGTAGAAAGACAACGAAAGCCTTACAACTAATCCAACCAGCTCAGAGAATGTGATTTCAACAGAAAGTATTGAAAAGCCATTGTTTTCAGACTTTATAAATCACCGAAAAATGTACGGTATAAACTGATAAACGATATCTACTAAGATGAGGTTCTAACATGGTACACTCCTAGTGGAATTTCATTATTTCTGAAAATTCATATTTACAACAAATTATATGGCATCCAGGATGATCTAGCATAACAAAGATCGTATATTAATAAAAATAATATATTTGTAATATCCCAATGAGTAGAAAATTGGATTTTTCTGACGTTTCGTGGCTTAGTGTAAGTCACTTCTTCAGAGAATAAATAAAAGATCGTATATTGTTTACCCATTCTCTTGAAATATTCACACACGGATATCAATAACGGTCAACCACACTATGATTATAACATAGTAAATTGTTTCATGTAAATGATATGCAATCTCAAAGAAGCGTCGCAACCTAGATTTATAATTTCCTCAATACTAGTGTAGTGAACGAGAACACAAGTGGGAAAGTCAAATGTATTTGTATAGAAAATTACAGAACGTTTTAGTAAAATCTGAGAACTACACAGTAAATACTTCATTTGCAAAATGCTAATCAATCGTCTCAGACCTAATTGTCTCTTCGTTTCCACACCAATCACTCTCTGTCCTCATTCTCTTTTCTTTGATCTTCATAATCTTCTGACTCCAGGCATTTCACTTTCTATGGATGATACATACCACACACTACACTAGTAGTCACCTGATGAATTAACATTTACATCGCGAAACAATTATACTGTTGATCGGATTGATTACAAGATATTTTGATGATGAGTATTATCAAAATCGAAACTACCATCCCACGGACATAATATTTAAAGATGAATCATTTTTTTAATTGTCTAGTGTTGTCGACAGGTTTTCTATTCAAAATCGCATAATCAAGAAAACATTATGATCTTTGGAACAAAATTAGGACAGATTAGGTTATTTCTAAGTGCTTATGTCACTACCTACTATATTCCACTAGCATATAAGGCACTTTCGCATCCACAATTCCATAAAAATGACAATTACGTCCAATAACGATTGTCTAAAGAATCTTTGCAACGGATAAAGTGCAGTGACAAAAGCATAACTCAATGGAAGTAAAGACCGTGGTATCAAAATTTGGCACTATGGTCTGAGATACATATTGAGTGATCACCAGAAACGTTAGTTGTTAGTAACTTCCAATCTCTTGAAAAATTACTAATCCGATATAGTACTTGATATTTTGCAGTAGAAAAAGAGATTAAGTGTTGATAAAAACGTAGCAATCAATAAGTTAATCAGCCAAATCCAATGTAAAATTTGGTACATCACTATATCAGTAAACATTCCCACACCACGTCACAAAGAGAAAATGTTATCAAAATGAATGTAAAAGCCATAAAAGTAGCAACAGTATCAGTGATAGTATAAAGAAATTAGGCATAGATAGTATGACTGGAGAAAGATGCATAAAAGGGATAAAATAATTTTAAAACACAGGATCTTAGGAAAGATAAATAATGAGTGGGTGTGTATCACTGCAATCAATTCTGAGCCGTGTGATTCATCTCAAATAGCTAGTTATGATAATTGAGTGGACCTCAGAAAGGTAGTCAGAATTTACTAACATGAAGTGAAGATTCACAACCTGCATTTAGCACCATGCGTCTAGCTTCAACAGTACTCATTCAGCGGTTTCAACATACAATAGTAATACTTTGAAAACACTTATTGTCAAATATTAGTATCTGAATGGTCAAAAAAGTGACAACTATCTACACAGATTCCATGTGTTAGGAATGATACAAAGCTGATAATATAGATTACATCCTCTAAGCGACAAGTACTTAAAACCCTTTAAAAAAGCGCAAATTTTAAGGATACTCTAAACCGTTCTACATTAAACTCAACAGATAAGTGGTACTGATTACCAACAACACAACAAGATTCCAGGTATTAAAATTAATGCCAATTTTCGTAATTAATAAATAACGTAACATCTATACTGATTAAAATTCAATGTACACAATTAACGTGAATTGGTATATGATGAATTATCTAATTCTGAACAAGACAAAGTGCATTAATTTTCAGTTACAAACGTTTTAATAACTAAGTGTTTGAAATTCAGACAAATAATCATTTTGCCTACAAGTTCCTTCACATATTTTTAGAAAAAAAAACAATAAAAAAAGTTTCTAAGTGCTTATCCTAGTCCGGTAACTAATTTTCCATTTAAAGAAGAACATACAAATATAAATACACGATAATATTCCAGTCAAAAAGTTTGAAATTTCAATACAGAAAAGCATTATCATTGACATTTGCTAAAATTCAATTTTATAAAATTCCAAATATTCTTAAAAAGAAATAAGAAGAGAATTTGTAGCTCATTTCACTTTATTGATCTTATCAACAATATGCATAAACGATTGGCATTTATTATTATTATTATTGGGACTATAGTGCGGTACAATGATTGAGTACAATAAATAAGTAAAAATAAGTCGGATGTTTTATTAAGAACAAAAATAATGTGACCATAAGTTGGTATATACATATAAATAAATATATAGAGAATATGTAAAGCATAAACACTATTTCCACTTGGGTTCTGCTTGTAAGGAATCATGAAGCTTCTCCTGATGATGTTGACTAGAAGGACAATGAAACTATCAAAACTAGACTACCCAGTTAAGAGATGGCTACTTGACAAAAGTCATCCTACTGTAGCACAAATCTTCTCTACCATCTAAAAATTAACCTAATCACAGTAAGTTGGTAAAAGTGAAACCAAGTTCCAGTGTCTTTTATTTGTCGAGTTAGGTATATATGAGGCTAATAGATAATAATACATATAAATCTTCGGTATCAGTATGAATTTATATTTGTGCTTTCTATTAGATACTAATAAAACTATAGATTTTGGAATTATATTTCACTTTCTATACTTTAATCAGATCTACAGTAATGTATAGAAATAGTAATGAGGGTTACCAGTTCCCAGATTATTGGAGACTTCATTTAAATTCCCTGAGACTAAGTGAAATTATGAAATAAATCGCTCCATCTAACATTTAGATAACAACTAGTAATTTCAAAAGTCTTTCTGTGCAAACTTTTAATAAGTATAATTACTATATCAGATGGCATTGAATTTTTCAAGGAGGATCATAAACCGAAATTCTCTGACTGTTTAGTTGAAAAACGACAAGACAACAATGTAACATCTAGCATTTCATAAAGCTAATACTTTCAAAGATTTATAAATCAACAAAGTAACAATGGTTACTAAACAACGCGTAAACAGAGTTAGCCATCTCGCTGCAGAATTAGAAGTAAAACACAGAACCGAAACAAGTTAAGTTCTCATTTTGAACAAACGATTATCCTAAATATTTTATAAGTAGAGCGATGAAATATGAGGGTAAGATGACAATGGAATATTATCCGAAAAGCTAAATAACCATCGTGATCATCTCTCATTATCAAGAGATATTAAAAGAAGTTGACATATTAACGTGAGTGTAGAACATTATCAATTACTGAACCTTAATACATTCAAAAGTAAATGGGTAGTACTCTATCTAAAAGGTCCAAAAATTGATTTCGATGGAAATGTTCTCTAAAATATTTAAGTGCCAGATATAAAGGTAACAGTTATATTTTTTACTCACTCCCTGTATTATATATATGTATGTACATATATAAACAATTCATTAGGAAAAACGTTTAAAGGATTTTATTTCAAAGACTGAGACCTGTATACATTCAGTTGGAATACACGCGTCAATGAGCTGACAGCAATACTTCTCTTTATTAAAGTGATAACACGAATTTTTCTAAAGATTGAGATAAGTTAGGTGTGAATATTAAACCAATTGGTTCATAGAATAACCACGATTTACTCTTTTTAGAGATAAATAATTTTCTACGAAGACAGCAAGACGACAGTATAATAAAACTAAACAACTTGGTTGCTGTAAAATTATTCTGATTGTATGAATAATCAAACAAATACCTAGTACTAAAATTGATAAGCGAACTGTCGCATAAGTATTTCGAAATTCCCATGTTCACTATTTATTTGAGAAAAACTATATTTCTAAACAATTATCTAATTATCACTTTAACCTTCATACAATCAGATATAAGAATAGTCAATAAATATAGCTGGAAATTGGTGTTTAGAAGATAGACGGATAAATTCGAAGGTGATTTCAGTACCAACCCACTAAATTAACTGAAGAGCAACCAGAAAAAAATAAGTAATACTGATTACGGTTCTCATTATGTACTGATTTTAATCGGACCATAAAAAATTTTGTGAGTCCTCAGGAGCAAACAAGTGTGATTCTATTAGGAATCACGACTTAGAATATGAGATTCCGTGGCAACTAAAATACCTTTGGGCCATTAAAGTCAACATAAGAATGACCTACATATCCGAGTTTTGGTTAATATGTTATCTGATTCCACAATATAACGTCTCCAAACTTAAGTACCAGTGTTTGGTAAATGAAGTAAGATATAACTGGAAGCATTACCGGGAAACGTTATTCTTAAAAAAGCATGTCTATGTTGAAGGCTTGGTATATTTACCAATAAAACAACCAACCAAACTCTGTACCACCACCATACATACATAACATCGTTATCGATTAAACAATACCGCTACCAAAAATAAACACATGAAAGTCTACTCCACAAATATTTTTATTCAAAAACTATTGAAAATCTGTAAATACAATAATAATAACACGAAGCAGTTGTCGAAATCATATCGCTGAAATATATTTGTCCATCAAAATTTTGGCAGACGAAATAAATACAGAAGAGAGGTAAAAGTGACACAGTGAACGGCGAATCGATCAAACTCTGAAACAAAAAGGGAAACAAGTGTTGTATATATACAGAACCTGTTTTTTTATGAAACTGAGAAATTACAAGTAAATATATGGTCAACGTATGATAAATAACTTATGGTGTTAGCCACGTTGATAGATGCAGACTACTTGGTTGGAGTTCGCGCAATCATCGTAAACAATGGTTGGAGACTCTGAGTGACATGGCTCAGAATCGATCACAATGGCGTTGGTGTATACACTCTTTGTCTTTCCTTAAACTATGAGATTAAAATCGCTTCATATCTTCTTTTCTACGAACTAATTCTTTCCCGTACTACGTCCTTAAATGCAATCATTTTTATATATATTACCACTATTCAATTAACTACTTTTATGAATTCGGTGTTCATCTTGTTGTGCTAATGAGGTATGGCAACCTGGACTGACGCATATATGTGCCTGGTCCTACGTTGTAGCTGACTGACTATATGGGTGTAGATTTTATGATGATGATTTTTAGGATGAACGGCTTGCTGGGCAGTAAAAGGTTGAAACAAAACTATAGTAAACCAGCAGTAATGTGGATACAAAGTTTTACTAATATCGGGGAAATATAGAAACCTAAAGGGTAAGACCTCGTTGAGTCCTTTAAGTAAAAAAATTGTATTTGTATGTTGATTTTAACACTCAAGTTTATGACTTTAAATACATTTATAGTGTGGGTTTTTTTAACTTTTAGTCTAAGAAAATATATTAGTGGCATTACTGAACTTTTGATTTCCACATAAGTACAGACTGATATTTGCTCACAAACTCATATGTTAAGCGTTGGAACCCCGAAAGCCACTGTAACACAGCTCCAGTTCAAGTATACGTTAAACATTAATTGCATCACTATTGGTAAACGTTAGCCAACAAACTTATTTTACTAACAACCCTACATTTATATCCTGGATTCCAAAAAGATAAACTTGCGCCGAATTCGGTTATTCGTTTTGATTATTATTTTGAAATTATAACCGTAGAACTTGGTGACAATTTCTTAAAACGAATACTGTTCATTTATATATTGTATGGTGATATTCTAAGTAATCTGTGGATACTTACTTTTTAACAATTTGTACTACATCTTCATCGTGAAGTATATGATCTTTACCTACACGCTGTGGTTGATGTTTTACTGAAGAACCCCAAACAAAGGCACTAAAAAAATACGTAAAATACTCAAAATTATGAGACATGTAATATTTGAAAACAAAATTATTTGTATTATTTGGCCAAAAGAAATGTTACATTTAAGCTAGCCAGACTAAACTAAATTATTCAGACAGAACAATAATGTCCTAATGGGATTATTCCAGAATATGAATGACAACTTCATTTTAAACTCAAAAATGATATTTCTAAAGGATATAATTAGTATACTAACTTGGATTCTTAATAAAGAATTGTTTAACAACTAACTAGAAAACATGAATATTTCTTTAGAGATACTTCAGTATCGAGATTGAAATGAAAAGAATTATGGTATTCAGTGAAATGTTGAGTTCCGATTAAAATTAACTTTCTTTTTAGAAAAATAAACTAACGGTTTTAGGCAGCTAAAAAACTTTTTCTAAACAGATTGTTAAAATCTTGATTAAATCAAAAAATTGAATAACTGGCGCGAACAGATAGTGAAAGTCCGTAAATTATAAGAATGCAACTCGTCAACTACTTGCATGTTCCTGAAGTAAGATATGATAGAAATATTTCCGCATGTGATAATATTGCCAACTGTTTCCATAATTCTTAGGTAGAATACAGTACAGGTTGGGAACTATGTACAATTGTATGAATGTATCAAGTTCACAATATTCAATAACATGTATTTATAATTAACAGTAAAATAAATTTACAATGGTAAGTTGTTGGAGCTGAAAGGTTATGATGATTCTATTTCATCCAAAAAGGATTAACTCGTAGAAATTTTGAATAAAAAAAAGAGAATTCGGCGAAGAAAATTTTCTTTTCGATGAAATCATTTACTTAAGCTGTACATTCGTATATATAGTTATATGGAATATATATATAAATGGCATAAATTTGATATAAGATGTTGACTAAAAATTATTTAGAGCTTTTTAATAAAGATGAATGAAGTAGGCTAAGTTTATATAATTCTGTCTGATTGCTAAGACTAAATAGCTTGCAATTAAAAGATAGAGGTGCATTATTCAGGTTTATATCGAGCAAAACAGTCTTGAAATATAATGGACATGGAATCTTACAAGTAAAATGGAGCGACCCAATCGCTAAGATAAGCGACATGACAACACATACTACTATAAATGATGGGTACTTTGGAGAAAACCTGAAGGACACAATATTTACTTAACGTGTTTATTGTCCCTTATTGATAAATAAAATTTGAAACTGTTCAAAATGACTAGATCCCGAACTACTGAGCCCTGGAGTCAGGTATTGGGAGATCAAACTATTTTAAGTTATCAAACACGACATCATATTTCAATAACCCATGCAGAAATAGCATACGGAATTTTATGTATTTTGATAAAACCACAGATTTTTGATAAATTCAAAGGATATGAAGTGACGATAAAATTGGTCTGTTCTTAATGGTTCCTTCTTGACAGAGATTTATTGGAAATTTCAAGTGTAACTTCCTATTTGTTACAAATTTACTAATGAATGGTAAAAATATGTCGAAGAGTTTGATAATAATACATAATATGGAAAAACAGCTACTGAACGCTTCGTTTGTTCAAAAAATCCAAGTTAGGTGTGGATACTGCATAAAAATAATGTTATACTGAGCACTATTTATATGTCACGAAAGAGCGCTTTATCAGTACAAAACACTAGCAAGCCAAGGTAAATATGAAAAATGAAATTTTGTGTAAATAAATATGGGATAAAATTCTAAATTTCGCACTGCCTACTCATCAGTAAACCAAAAATGGGAGGAGATTAATGTTTAAACAGCCGAAAACATTATCACATATTTAAGCTAGGTAAAATAAGTGGTGCATTGTAATTAATGACTCCTTAACATATGGTTAATTAACGATAACTATAAGCATAAATCTGGCTCTGAAACCTGTAAAAGATAGGCCATCGTACAATCAGTAGTAAAGAATGGTCGAAGTAGAAATAGTATGCGAATTTGATTCGGATACTAGTTACCACGCAAATGAATCTTATGGCACTGCACCAGGTCTTTGTGGACTGGATCTATGGACCAGAAATTTTGGAAGCGGTCAAATGGGCAAAATGCTCTGAAGTCTATGAACTCGCAGAATATCTAAGTTCTATCACCAGCCATAAAAATTAATAATGACAAAAGTGATTATGAACTATTAGTCTGCAAGGCACGTAAGTTTATTCTAAACTAATTTGTCTATCTTACCTAACTTCTTCTATGAGATTCATACTTTTCATTAACTTCTGTTTAAGCTCTAGCTTACTCTATAGTTCGTCGTTGTCAAAGGTGTCATGCTATTTAAACATTCTTACGTTGAATACTAAGGGTTTATAGCATTTATTTTATAAAATTAAAAAGTATTAGGACTAAAGAGAATGTACAGAACTATTTCACTTCATCATCTGATAAACTGTATTTAACGACTGTTCTGATATAAAACTTTCCAGAAGTGACCAGAGCATTTACACAAAAATTTATTAAATCTTTCAACTGTTAACTGAACTTACTACTTAAATTCCTTGATTAAAGTCTTGTGCAATTTATTGCAAAAGTCCTCAACAGTATGCGCAGCAGATCTCAAAATAACCGGAGAGTTGTAATCAGGCAACTGCCCTTTGGGTTTTGTGTAAATTCTTATCAAGTTTAAATACTCCCATATTAGCTCAAGTAGATCATCAAAATTCCATTTGTGATGAGCTGAAATGGGCACACAATGAGGAACACGACAAATGATATCTAACTCCTAACAAAATCCGAACAATTACATGACTCGTTTCATACCTCAATGGTAATCTGATCAATTTTGTTGAGAACATATATACACGGAATATAAACACGACTTCCTTCAATCACATCAATTAGATCTTCAGCAGTTGCATCGCATCTAAGTGAGACATCTGCATTGTGTATTTTATATTCACTTAAAATAGTTTTTATTACTTCTTTATCTAATTCAGATTGAGGGACCTGCAAACGTCATTTTTAGCAAAATAGAATGAGGAAAACTTACTAAACTTTGAATATTCAGGCCTCCTTTTTCTTTACGGCGTAATGTAATGTTAGGAGGACTTTTGTTTAATCTGATACCAAATCCCTCTAATTCGTTTTCTAGAAGCTTTTTGTGTTGTAAAGGCTTAAGGACATCTAGCACCATGAGAATGAGAGTGCACGTTCGGGCAACTATCCGTAAAAATTTACTGACGTCTCTTGCAAATATGACTTACCAGCTATCACCTGTTTTCCTCTACCCTTTCCATCTTTGGCACCTTCTATGATACCGGGTAGATCAAGTAGTTGAATTTTAGCTCCTTTGTACCTAATAACGCCTGGCACAGTGGTAAGGGTTGTGAACTCATAGGCAGCCACTTCAGAATAGACACCGGCCAAATTGCACAAAAGTGTTGACTTTCCGACTGATGGGAAACCCACAAAACCGATACGTGCATCTCCCGTTTTAGCAACATCAAAACCTTCTCCACCTCCGCCAGTACCACCTTTGGGTTCAATAAGTTCTCGTCTAAGTTTAGCCAACCGAGCCTTTAATAATCCTAAATGACCCATGGTATTTTTGTTTTTCTGTGTCCTAGCCATCTATGAATGGAAATTGAGCATAAGAAAACAGGCTTTGAAAATGAATCCATAACATTTGAGTTCACTAAAGAATCTTTATTCATGCAGTACAGTTAATAGAGAAAACTACATAGACGTTTGAAAAAGTGGCAGTTTGAAGGTAGACTAATAAGATAATTTAGTTATCGAGGACTGTTGGATTAAAAGATTAAGTACTCAACTTCTATCCACTACGTTACGGATAGGCAACCAACTCTGCTTGATCAATTTGATAATTCAAGTATGCAAGCCTGTATTTGGATTATATTTTGTCGCATCTTATTCTCATAAAAAACCTTGAAACGAGAAAATTACTGTATGATAACAGGTGGTACTATGATGAGTAAAATATATCGGCATTTTAATCTATTATAATGTAGCTGATAATTCACCACAATTACCTGGGCCTGTTAAAGTGAAAGTATCATTACTTTTGACAAATAAAACCAAAACGCTATAACTTAAGGCATTTTTATGAAATTTCGAAAGTTTAGTGATATACAAACATTTTTATGACATACCGAAGATTACATTCGCGAACAGTATTTATCACTTGATTACTAGCTCCATCTGGATTGAATGGTTATCACTCCGGTTTAACCTCATACATTTTTTTCAAACTTACTTCATTGTGTAATTAGATTTACTTGACAACGAGATATTAAAAGTCAGATGCCAACAGCATTTAAAATATGAATAGCTATATTTTAGCCATACACACCAGACTCAGTCAGTCAGTAACAACGTAGAACTTCGCACGTACGTACATCAGTTCGAGTTGTCATACAACATTAGCACAGAGATACAGTTGTCGATTCAAATCCCGTAGTGGTAGAGGTAGTAAAAGTATAAGCAGTAATCGAAAACATTAGGGTTTGAAGATGTTACTCAAGGAGTATAATCCAGTGAAATAAATTTGGAAAGAGGAAAAAACGGGACATGAAGAATTCAGAAGATTAGAATTTTCGAGAACACAAAGAGTGGATGCACCTGAGCCATTACAAACGATTTTGAGCCATATCATTCAACGTCTCTAACCATCGTTTGCTATCATCTCGCGGATCTCAACCAGGTAGTCTACACCTACTAACATGGCTCAGTCCACTTGTTAGTGACTTTATGGATTTGTGCCATGTTTTGGTCTGGCCGCCTCTAGCTTTCTTCCGACCTACTCCTACACCATAAAACATCCCACGTCGGAGAGTCGGTGGTTGGGCATACGTATGTGTCCCATGTGTCCCAGCCATCTTAACTGATGAAGTTTCACTACTTCACCAATTGATTTGCCATCCTTACCTAGTACTCGTTTCCTAACAACTGCATTACTTACTGGGTAGTTCCAGGACATAAGAGCAATGCTTCGAAGACACCTCTGATTGAATGCTAGTAACCTACGAATATCCTCTACTCTTACCGGCCATGTTTCACTGTTATAAAGTAGGACGGAACGAACTGCTGCACAGTAAACTCGTCCTTTGGTTGGTAGACGGATATCTCGCCTACGCCATAAATGACGCTAGTTGGCAAACGCTAGTCGGGTCTTCTGTATCCTTTTGAAAGAAGCAAGAACAAAGATTCTAGCAGAATAACATGAATTCGTTTTATTTCTCGTCAGCTGCTTACAACCTACGAAATGAAATGAATTCATGTTATTCTGCTAGAATCTTTGTTCTTGCTCTTTTAAAAATGATAAAGGGAACTATGTGTATGAAATCTTCTGTATCTGTACTGAGAATTTGTCACACAACAGACCACAAGGGCTGATGAGACTTCCAAGATAAGTGAAGCAGTCGACACGCTCAACTACTTCACACATCAGACTACATGTAAGGGATAAATAGTTTGCAAGTAAGAAGTGTGATTTATGCTGAAGTAATTTGATCGATTCAGAAGTTAATAACTCAGAGTGATTGGAGCATAGATTCGATTTTGTTGTCAAAATCAATGCACGAGTTGGTGTTTTAGTTTACATAGTTTAAGAATAATATGGTCATAAATGAGAATAAGTGAAAGTATGATTTGTGCACGACCACGAAGCGATAATAAAGTGACCTTGAGAACGTCAACCAACTTACTATGGTTGATTAGAGGTTCTGGATTGACGTAAGGAATTAAAATTAGGATCTACAGTTAGATGTTATGGTTAGGAACAAGGGTCAGGGTTCACATCACAAACTGACACCTGCTATAATGGCGAAATACCATTTACCCACATTGATAAATAAATTTGGTGTCGATATTAACAAACTTCCATCATAGCCGTAACTGGTTTATCCATGAATTATAGTTTCGCCTGAAAATTCAGGGCATACGTATGTAAAATTGTGATACAAGTAGAAGTAAATGATTATTCGTCAAAAACAGTGAGTAGAGTTGTAAACTATATACTAATACTGAGGAACTAAGCCCAAAAACGTTTGGAAAAGAACGGTGCTGAGTGGAAGAGCCGACGTAAAAAATGAGTTACTCTGAAGGTTAGAGTGATCTATAGTATTTATGTTGCATCATGTTTTACGCAATGTCACAATGAATCATTGCACTTAACAAAACTATTTTGTAAGATTAGTTTAAGTATACGAGATATGCCAAGAACGTATTTATTTATTTCAACTGGTATGGGCCCTAAATTCCCTTGCGATTAAAAGCTCTCTATTGACGCGAGCTTACATAAGTTATTAAGTACGCGGAAAAACACATCTCTAAGTATAGGTCTCTTGAGTAACTCTTAAGTTTTAAAGCAAGATTTATCTTGAAATGAACAAACAGAGAAACGATACATGGTAGCAGTATAATGCGAATCGCTGCTATCTAACGAAATATAATTCACTAGGTAATATCGAAGCCAGACCCAACTTTTAGCAGCAATTGCTGCTATTATTAATAAAACTCTTAGGTAGTAGGTGATAAAACATTGACTATAAGATGCAAAATATGACACGTCAAAATGAAATCAATATAACTTAGAAAACGCCCAAAAGATAAGTACACAAACAGCTTCACGACAAAGTTACCTCTGCTTCTATTTCGGCTATTTTCTGTAGGATGCTCATTTCCACGAAGTTACCTGACCTTACAATTTACATAGATCGGCAAGGTTGACCTACAATGCACTTTCAAATAAGAACGACCGAATTCAGCTTTATTTAAACTTACGAAACCTAGAAGTGTAAAAGACCGGTTTAAGTCTCATGGATAGTTATCTTTATTTTGAATAATTTTATAGTTGGTCTACTGAATAATCTGTAACAATGTGTTGAAATGAACTGCCCCTATTGTTGAGAACTCTTTTCCATATTTATCAGTTAAATAAAGATAACTGACCGTTCTCGTGTGAATTTTTCCGGTTTGATGGACGTTGGTATTCAAGCTCAAAGTATCAGAATTCCTCATTAAGCTAATCAAATTCAACAATATCCCCTAAGAAAAAGCATCTGCCACAAAAATATCATGCAGTTCTTCCGATTACTTATACATAGTCTCCTGTAGAGTTTAGAATGTGACAAGTGACTCTGACACATACCTCTTCATTATAGTTACTTCATACATTTCTTTCCCATGGGATGGATTTTACCTAATAATTAAAGGTTTCCTATCTTTTCAGGAATTCTAAAATATCGTCCCTGAAACTTTTCCACCCTCTACTTAGAATCGAATTCTCTCGACCCGTAGAATCAGTCACCAGTTGCATTATATCAACGCTTTAACTTGCAAAACTCGACTATTGTCCATATAACATACTTTTACTGCTGGAACGGATCTACTGTAAAGTTAACTGGGAATAATAAGTTGTTTAACTAAAGTATTCTTCTGCAGAAGGTACATAATCCACTGGATCCTTTCTCTACCAAACCCTGGTTATGTATCGTGCACCCCTGACCAGTTAATGGGGTTTCCGAGAAAGGATGGAGTCTCACATCAAGACAAGCTTAGAAAACTTGACTGGTGTGCAAAATGATATGGCCAAGCTGTCTCACGTTCTAGCCCAAACCCAATATCTAATTTACCCAAAGTGGTAATAATGGGTTTGAGATACCTTAAGCGATTCTGTATCAGATGATCGGTTATGGATAGCTGGACTATTTTTAATCTGCCATAGCAGGTTGTATGGTACGTTTTCTCCGGAGCACAAATTTTAGTGCAGTACACATCAACCTCATGCCTGCAATCAGTGTTCCATATGGATGAGAATCCTGTGCGTATGAGTGTGTGCTCACTGCCATCTACCTACGTGCCGCCAACACTAGTATAGTGTGATGACCGGACAAAGCTTTAGTCAACTCGATACTCTCGCGCTATTCAAAAAGGACAGTGGTATTTTTCCTCTGAGTAATTTTCATAGATTCAGATTCAGATTTGTGTAGTAAGGACAGAAGGCCTACGGCCTATGTTATTCCTTTTCTAGTATGCTTCTGTGAGTGTCCAGACCTGCTTCAGGCAGCAGGTTCCAAGTATTGATGACTCGGTGTAAAACCTGTATGCCACGGGTATTTTGTTCGTTCTTGGCTTTTCTGCTCGCCTGCTATGTCCTCTGAGGTGTCCCGATCTAGTGGGAAGAAAGAGAGAGGATACGTTAGGTCCGAAATCATTTCTCAGTATTCTGTACATCAAAATTAGATCTGCCCTTAGTCTGCGATAGAACAGAGTAAAGAGGTCCAGTTTTTCAAGCCGCTCTTTGTATGATAAACCCCGGAGTTTCGGAATTGCACGGGTAGCTGCCCTCTGTACTTTTTCTAGTATGTCCGAGTCATCTTTTAAACGGGGGCTTGCAGCCTGAACGCAGTTTTCTAGCTTAGTTCCCACTAAGGATGTGTATACTGTGGTGAACATAGTAGTATCTAACTTGGGGAATGTCCTTTTTAAAGCCCAGAGGGTTCGAAACCCCTTAGCTACGACCTCCCGGTAATGGGTCGTCGTCTTAAGATCATTACTCGCTGTCACCCCTAGATCCTTATGAGACTGGACTACGGGTAATGACACATCCCCCATGTTGTACGTATTAACCTTCGAATCCCCCAAGTGCATGTAGACACATTTTTCCGAGTTGACAGGCATCACCCACTCTTTAGACCAGTTTATCATATTATTTAAGTCTGCCTGAAGAGTAAATGCGTCTTTATCTCCTGTTATTACTCGCCAAATTTTTACATCATCAGCGTAAAATAACATTGGAGACTGCACTATACTTGTAAGATCACTAAAGCACATCATAAAAAGTAAAGGACCTAGGACGGAACCCTGGGGTACTCCACTAAGTACTGGTCCACGGATGGAACACTTGGAATTTATTCTTACATTTTGCCTACGACCTACTAGGAAATCCTTAATCCATTTTAAAAGAGGTCCGGCAATACCAAGGTTTTTCAACTTCAATAGCAGTCTATTTGTTGGCACATTGTCAAAAGCATTACTGAAGTCAATGTAAACAACATCCAGAACTCCCTAGCTATAAGGAGGTTCGTCGTACCCTTTCTAAAATAATGTTGTGCCATGTTCAGCAAGTTATTGGTTTACATAAATGCCGTTATGGTCCGTTTGATTATTATTTCCAGTATTTTAATTACAACACTGGTGAGGTTTACAGGTCTGTAATTCGGTGGATATTGTCTTGGTCCAGTTTTATGTATGGGAGTGATGATCGCGTCCTTCCAGTCCATAGGTAACACACCTTGGTCAGGCGACACGTCAAATATCACAGTCAGTGGGGCTGCGATATATTAGGCAATATGTCTCAAGATTGTGTAGTGTAGTTCATCTGACCCTGTTGACTTCTCCATGTTTAGGGTGCTAAGAGCCTTGAGCACATCGTTTTGGTCGAAGTCCACGGTGAGCAGCTGATTTGCTGACTCTGTATCTGGGTCTGGTTCTTTCTCTAGAGGAGGTTCCTGAGTGAAAACTGCCCCAAAATAGTCAGCCATAACCTCTGCTTTATCCTGATCTTCCTCTATCATTTCAGATTCACTTCCTTCTTTAATTAGGTTGGGAATCCAATGATGCATCCTTGTTTTGTAGTTTGCGTACGAGAATATCCTCTTAGGTTGCTTGACTGCATATTGTGCTAACTGCATTTCATATGTTCTTTGAGCTTCCCGAATTTTAGTTATACACTCGTTTCTTATCTATTTGTAGCGTTCCATCGTGCCTGCTGTGCCAATGTTGATAGCAGCATCCCAACATTTCTTCCTTTGTCGTAGTAAACGCCGAATATCCCGCCCTATCCAGGGATGTCCGTGCTTCTTTTTCTTTGGGGTAGTCCAGGGTATGAATGGTTGAGTTAACCGATTGTATAACTGCCTGAATAGAGTCCATGCCTCTTCTGTTGAAGTCTTTGAGTCAATTTACCAGTTCTCATCCGATGCTGCGGAGTTGACTGACTCCATATCTGCCTTCCATATGTTAAGACGGGCCGGCGCAACTGTTTGACAAGCAATCTCAGCCATGAATTTGAATAACATGACTGCATGGTCACTTCTCCCAAGTGGTGGGAGAAAAGCTATTTGACCAACGTCATCATCGTGTGAGAAGACTAAATCTAAAAGAGAAGAAGAGTTTCTTAAGTCGTATCTTGTGGGATCTCTAATGTGTTGGAATAAAGCTAGTCCAATAGAGGTTTCTAACAGTTTGCAGTCGAATGACATTATCGATTACCCTACTTCTAAGCTAACCCAGTTTATATACAGTGCATTAAAGTCGCCTACTACAAGGCTTTTACCTTTGTTACGCCAGGACTTAAGTTTACTTAGAAGAAAATCATCTGCTACACGTTCTGGACTGCGATACACTACAACTACTTCAATATCTTGCCTTCGGCATTTCGACGCATCAAAACTACTGTTTTTGCTTTAACTGAATTTTTTCAGTTAAAGTAATCCCCAAGAGTACCGCTTTTTCTCCAGTGAAGTTTATTATCTTTACGAGTGCAGATACGTGAAAAACTAAAGACACTGGTGCTTAGTCTTCGTCATTCATTATATCTTTGAACATTGTTTGCATCCATAGGTGTTAAGTTCTTTCTGCGGCTACTGAAGCCCTATTTCTTATTGCTTTTTATTTTATTTATATATAAACATAAAACAAATTCATGGCACAACTGAAATATTGTTGTGGTAGACCAGCATGCTATTTCATCGTCGATGAGGGGACGCATTGTGATAACCGCAATAAGTGGCATCACATTGTGTGCTCCGTACTCACACCGGCTGCATATAAACGATGCTGCAAACCATTATCACGTTGGTTTTGTAAAGAATGTTGTTCCACTAAGTCTCTGCCGATTCTATAGGCGATCGAGCTGCTAAACAAAGCAAAGAAATTACCCTCTGATAAACAGGCAGCAGAAGATGAACAGAACTTTGCTTTCGGGGAAATTAAGAGCGTTATTATAAGCCCGGCTCTAGACTTAAATGAGACCATCAAGGTGAACCTCATCAGGGAAGCAGATGAGCATATGTATGAAGGCATTGTTACAAGGAGAAAAAAGTGCGCAGAGAAGAAGAAACTACCTATGTGAATCTGTGTGTTCAGTTCCGGATTCACATATCAATGTGATACAAAGTATAGGGGAGTCAAGTCTGAGCAGTGTAGAGGAAGTGATCAAGAGACAAAATAAGGCAAATGAGTGGCTCACAGTCACACCTAGGAAAAGCAAAGTAAGAAAACAGAAAGCAACCTCAGCGTTTGACGCCAAATTGAAATCGGATTGCAGGGAAGAGACGGTTTCAGGAAATAAAATTCCACGGCGTGTCAAAACGGACATCCCTGAAAGGTTAGCCTTTTTTCATAAGTTAAGAGAATCTTCTGATAAGGAACCAAAGGCTGAATTGGAGCACGACCTCATTCGTGATAATTCCTTAATAAGCAAGCTACTCCCGAAACAGTTCGAAGAGTTAGCATTAGTAAGCTTTATAGGATAGAACAAAAGACAGATTCTGAAAGTCCTCAGAAAATCCGCCTCTTGAAGGTTACCTTTGCTACGGTTGACGAAAGAAACCTGATACTAGGTAACTCACGTAAACTGATTGTATCCGGAATATATGTCCGTGAGGATCTCAGC